CTCTATTAAGGCTAGAGCCATAATGGGCTTTTATCCTATTACAGCACCATGTTCTCAGCAGTCTTCTTCTCAAACACATCTTGACTTTTAAGGTTCTGATTCCTTGTGGCACTCAAGATTGGGTCATCCTTTTCAGTCAATCTTAACTCAGTGCTTCATCAAGCAAAATTGTCTGATGCATCTTCCAAACATTCTTCTTTTACTTACACACATTGTATTGGCAAAATGACCAAGTTGTCATTTCCTCTTTCACAAACACTGACTATGTCTTCTCTTCAAATTTTGCACAGTGATGTATGGGGCCCTGCTCTAGTGCTTTCTTTTCAAGGTTTTATGTACTATATGTGCCCTTTATAGATGACTTCAACAAATATACTTGATTGTTCTCTCTTGCTTATAAATCAGATGTTGAAACTGTTTTATATAAATTCAAGTCATATGTTAAGAATTTATTAAATCTGATGTGCAAAATTCTTAGAACAAATGGAGGTGGAGAGCATCACTCGCACAAAATTCAAACTTTTCTTTCTTCTCATGGCATTGAATATCAGAAATCCTGTCCTCATAATCCTAAACAGAATGGTGTTGCAGAAAGGAAATATAGACACATTATCAACACAACCATCACTCTTTTAGCTCAAGCTTCCATGCCTTTGTCATTCTGGTATCATGCTTTTGCCATTGCTATTTTTCTTATCAATTAATTACCAAGTAGAAACACATCAAATAAGTCCCCTTTGAACTCCTGTTTCATTCTCTACCAGATTACACTTATCTTAAAATATTTTATTATACTTGTTATCCTCTTCTCAAACCCTATATCACTCATAAACTTCAACCTAAATCCACACAATGTGTTTTTATTGGTTATGCACTAGATCAAAAGGGTAATCTTTGTTTCCAGCCTACGACAAACATAGCCTTTGTTTCTAGGCATGTTCTTCTTGATGAGACTGTTTTCCCATTTGCCTCTACATCATCCTCAGTCTCTTCCTCTAGCTTACCTTCTATTCTAGACCCCTTTCGCTCCATCTTTGTTATTAAAATAATTGTCCTCCTCCATGTCTACTTCTATTGATACATCTGCTCCTTTACATTCAGCTTCTTCAACACCTGCTCCTCCTGCAATCATGCAAAACTTAATTGTTCCTTCATCTTTTCCAATTTCAAATTTATCTGCACCTTCTGCATCTTTTAATGAGCATCCTTCATCTATTGTTTTATTACATTGCATTCCTACTTCACATTTTCCTGAGCCTACAAATCCATTACTTTAATTCCTAGCTACCTCCAATCAACCCATGCAAACCAGATCCAAGTCTGGTATAGTCAAGCAAAAGACCTTTTTCACCACTACACAACCTACTGCATTCATTGCTGCATCCAAAGTTCCTGAGTGGAGACAAGCAATGGCCTCAGAATTCATAGCTCTTCAACAATAGGGTACCTGGACTTTAGTCCCAGGTGAATCTAAACATCATATTATAGGTTGTAAGTGGGTCTATAGAATCAAGAGACTAGCTGATGGTTCTATCTCAAGGTATATGGCTCATTTGGTTGCAAAAGGGCTTTCAACAGGAAGCTGGCATAGATTATGAAGAGACTTTCATCCCAGTAATCAAACATGCTACTGTCAAGGTTATTCTTGCTATTGCAGCCCATTATAACTAGAATCTGAGACAACTTGATGTTAAAAATGCTTTTCTCCATGGTATTCTTAAAGAGGAGGCTTACATGATGCAACTTCTAGGCTCTGCAAATCCTTATTTCCCCACAGCAGTTTGTAAGCTTCACAAGTCTCTTTATAGCTTGAAACAGGCTCCTCAAGCTTGTTTTGAAAGATTTATCAATCATTTACTTACTTGTGAGTTTCAACCATCAAGTGTAGATTCCTCATTGTTCATAAGGAAGACCTCTTCTTCTGCTCTATGTGGAAGATATCATTCTTACAGGAGATGATCCAGCTTATGTCCAACATCTTATTACCAATTTAAACTCTATTTCTACCATGACAGATCTGGGACCCTTCCATTATTTTCTTGGTTTAAAAATTAAATACACAGCTACATGCCTTTTTCTCTCCCAACACAAGTTTGCTTCTAATTTATTGACCAAAACTCATATGATTGATTGAAATCTTTGTACAAACTCATCTTCCACCTCTGTTAAACTGACTAAACATGAAGACACTCCTCTCACTGATCCAACCTCTTTTAAGAGTCTATTAGGAGCTCTCCAATACCTTACCTTTACTAGACCTGATCTCAGTCATTATGTTAATCAGATCTATCAATTTATGCATATTCCAACAAACAAACACTTGGTTGCTCTTCGAAAAATTCTTCGATCCCTAAAAGGTACCATCACCTATTATCTATTTTATAGGAGATCATCTTCACCTTCTAACTCCCTGGTTCTTTCTGCCTACACTGACGCTGATTGGGCATGGGACATTACAGACATGAGATCCACCACTAGATTCTTGATTTTCTTAGGGTCTAGTATGATTCATTAGGGTATAAAGAAGTAGTATATTATGGTTAGATCCTCTACCGAAGCAGAATATAAAGTGTTGGCCACAACAACTACTTAATTGTCGTAGCTGAGGATGTTGTTGTGTGATTTGCACATCTTTCTTTCTACTACTCCCACTATATGGTGTGATAACATCTCAGCACTTGCATTGGACAACAATCCTCATTTTCATGGTCGAACAAAGCATATTGAGGTGGATTATCATTTTGTCAGAGAGAAGGTCACTCGTAGGGATCTCTCAGTTCAACATGTGGCCAGTGAGGATCATTTAGTCGATGCCTTTACCAAGTCCTTGTTTTCTGGTCGTTTTTTGCCTTTCAGAGACAAACTTCTACGGGCATCATCCTCCATCAGTTTGGGAATGATAACCAAGAGACCCAATAGCAAGAAATCTAATAACAGAATTAGTTAGCACTCAGTTAGTAATTAGTTAGGCGAGTTAGTTATGCTAGTTGTAGCTGTGTTCACGTACGTGTATATTGCATTGTATAACTCACACATTGACTGATATTGTAAATATATGTACATGTGAATCAAAAGAGGTGAATAATATACTCTGATCATTCTAGATTTTCATCTCCATCTCTCTCTCTCTCTCTCTGTGTTATTGTTTTTTCTTCATCAGATCTAATCTAAGATCTAAAGCTCATAGCTCAACACTAAAGTCTTTCAGTGTGGGGGGTGGTTGCCACTGCCAGAGTTCTTGAGGTGGAGTAAGGACCTGCCGGAGTACCCATGAGGGTTAGGTTAGGATTAATTTTAGTTTTTGGTAAAAATATATTAAGGGGTATTAAAGTTTTTTTTAAGTAAAATTGTTAATTGATATTTCGATAAATTATAATCACACCTCCTTAGATCAGTATAATTATAGAGACACCCCTTCGATTATTTAAAATATTACTAACCCTCCTCATAGTGTATCTATCGGTTTCACATAATACCCTTACCATTAGATGTTACTGACAATCAAAAGAAAGTGATTATTTCCTCGTATTCTTTCTATGAATTGCTCAGGGGTGAGTATGTTGAGGGTTTTGTTGACAGGGTTAGGCTTTTTAGGGTTGACGGTTAGATGAGGCTTTATGTATGGGGAAAAGGGAGAATGGGGTTGCAGAACAATTATGGGTTTAGGGGTTGAGATGAGGGTGCGATGGTGGTTTTATAACAGAATGTGGCTCGGATGTTTTTTTTGGGTTCGGTTGATAGCGTGGGGTGTTGTAGTGAGGCTAGGTTTGGCTATGATGAAGCAATATTCTTGTCGTCGATGGAGCAATAGTGTAGTGGAGTTTGTGAAATTCTTGAATTGCATAATGTATGATTATTGATCTCATGGGTGGGTGATGAGTGTTGCATAAGTATGTTAAGAATTTTGTGATAAAAATCTCATTTTGTTCATTAAAATTTTATGAGTTTTTAGATGGATCTTAACTACGTGTAAGAATATGTTTTACGAGACCAAACGAAAAGAAAACACAAAGCTACTATTCATACTTGAGATGATCTATTTGATTCAATAACAAACTTTAAGAGATTTGATTATAATTTATTGTAATAATTTTATTACTTAGAATTTAATAAATTCCAACATAGTTAAAGTGGGCAACTCAGATCTCTCATATGAGGCTAAAAAAGGATGAGATGTTTCTAAAGGGTGGTTGACCCCTATTGCGCCGCTGATTTTCATATTTTATTACAAAATCAACGGCCCTTAAAAGTTGACCCAAAAAAAAAACATGAGTTTATGCCTCAAAAAAATTTTAAAATTTTATGCCTCAAAAAAATTTTAAAAACTTTATCTTATATTTTTAAAAATTAAATTTTTTACATTATACTTTCAACGTATTAAAAAAATTGTAATATAATTATTCTATTAATTTATTTTTTTATTTTTTTAAAAATCATCTTTTGACGAATTGAGTAACAAAAAATAATGAAAGAGCCCCAAGAACATTTAAATTTAATACATTGAAGGGTTAATTGTAAATTGTAGCATGATCGTTCAAATCTTAATTTGTACCTCTAAAGATCAAAAATTTTAATTTATACTCCCAAAGATATAAATTTATATCAAAGTGCACCCCCAAAGATAAAAAATCTCAATTTGTACCCTAAAAGATAGAAATTTGTATCAATGTGCATCTAAAACTAACTGCCGTCAGTTTTCTGCCTAAAATTGAATTGATAAATTATACTTAGATCCCCTTATGCTTGTCACTTAATCATTTGGATCTCTTCACAAAATAATAGGTAATATAAAATTATAATTTTTTATTAGGATAAACTCATATTTTTTAACGACTATAAAATCCTAATAAAAATACTCTCAATCTAAAATTTTTCCATAATTAGGCATTCAAATAATTATGTTTAAATGATATATTGCATTGCGCATAAAAAACATTATATAAACTTTAGAATATTTCAGACTCACAAAATAAAGGGTAATATGAAATTATAATTTTTATTAGGATAAAATCATATTTTTTAACGATTTTATTAACAGATATCAACGAAAAGAGGTTACATGTTATACGTACACAAACGTCATGAAATGTAGGAGTAATATTTTAAATGCGAAACGGTTTAAATGATTAAGTGACAAATATGAAGAGATTTATGTATAATTTATCAATTTAATTTTAGGCAACAAATTGACGGGGGTTAATTTTTGGTGCACATTGATACAAATTTATATTTTTGAGGGTGCAAATTGAGTTTTTTGATCTTTAGGGGAGCACATTGATATAAATTTTTATGTTTAAGGGTATAAATTAAAATTTTTAATTTTTAAGAATATAAATTAAAATTCGAGCAACACTTTCAAAGTGTAATTTACAGCTAACCGTATATTAAATGCACAATATGAAATTCTACAATTCGCTCTAGAATTAAAAACAACTTATTTTTCGAGTTGTTTTTCTTCTCTTTTTTCTACCCTCCCAAAACCCTAAAAATCCTCTCCACCTCCCCAACCTCACAGTCCCATCTTTTTTCTCCGTAAAACCCTAAATTCCTGGTAGTGAAGCAAGTGGATCTGTAACAATGTCGAAGAGCTCGAAGATGCTTCAATACATCAATTATCGGATGAGAGTTACCATCCAGGACGGCCGTCAATTGGTGGCAAGTTCATGGCCTTCGACTGCCACATGAACCTCGTCATAGGAGATTGCGAAGAGTTCCTGCAACTGCCTCCGGCGAAAGGCAAAAAGAACGAGGAGAGAGAGGAACGCCATACTCTCGGCCTCGTACTCCTCAGGGGCGAAGAAGTCATTTCAATGACCGTCGAAGGTCCTTCTCCTCCTGACGTGTCTCGAGCCATAGGCGCCGGTTCCGTTCCGTCTGGACCCGGTGTTGGTCGGGCCGCAGGCCGTGGCTTCCACAATGGGCCACTTGTTCAGGCCCAACCTGGGTTAGCTGGGCCGGTTCGTGGCGTTGGTGGGCGTGCCCCTGGAATGATGCAGCCACAGATTTCTCGCCCGCCGATGAGTTATCCCCAACCGCCAGTTATGCGGCCGCCGAACCAGATGAGGGCCCCTTATCCTGGCCAGGCGCCACCTCAAATGCCTAGGGGCCTGCCGCCACCGCCTCAGTTTGCTCAGCGGCCAGGTGGGCCGCGACCTGGGTCATACCCGACGCCGCCTCAATTTGCACAGAGGCCGATGGTTCCACCCCCTCAGATGATGAGGGGACCGCCTCCACGACCTGGGATGCGGCCGAACCAGATGAGGGCCCCTTATCCTGGCCAGGCGCCACCTCAAATGCCTAGGGGCCTGCCGCCACCGCCTCGGTTTGCTCAGCGGCCAGGTGGGCCGCGACCTGGGTCATACCCGACGCCGCCTCAATTTGCACAGAGGCCGATGGTTCCACCCCCTCAGATGATGAGGGGACCACCTCCACGACCTGGGATGCCGCCTCCCCCGCGCTTTGGTATGATGCCTCCACCGGGTGGTGGTATTCCAGTCTATGGCCCGCCTCGTCCTGGGATGCTACCTCCACCAAATGCCCCTCCACAAAATCAGCCACCGCAGCAGTGATTTGGTAAGATGTTTTGAAATTCAATGCGTTTATTGAATCTAATTATAATGCACATTTCTATTATCCTTTCTTGAACTTGGCTAAATGTTGTTGTAATGCTCTACATAATAATTAAATGTTTAGACAATCCCGAGAATAAGGGCAATCAAATCTTCTGTTTGGGTAGCTGGTAGAGAAATCTTTCCTGAGATTGTGTTTCTGTCCTGTTGGAATGTGAGATTTTGAGGTAGTTCTATAATTCATAGGTGCAATAAATTATTGATATTAGTGTTGTGAATGAGGTCATTGCTTGGTGCAGTGATTAAAGTATCGTGTTTTTAAAAATATCAAGTGTTAAGTCTATGTTCAATTCTGTCTGTCTAGCACCCTCAATGAATGCAGACTAAGTTGTGTAATGACCAATTTAGTGTGCGCAAAATAACCTCATGATGCTCCTTTTACTATTGCCAAGACATTGAGACATATTCTTTGAGTTGTTTTATTTCCTTTTGAGTTCCCTTAATGTTCTTGTGTATTCCTTCATATTCCTTGTGGAGACTTATGGAAAAATAAGAAAGACTGTTATAATGTGGCAGAGGTTGATGTATTGGACAGCTGGGTCTACTGACTTTGTAAATTGATGGTTGGGGGACCACTTGCATTTATTCTAGGTGGAAGATGTTTTTTTTTTTAATTTTTATTTGAAACACTTTGAAAAAGTACCACATTGATACCATAAAAATTGATGATCCGGGGCATTTTGGTTTTACCGTTGTTGCATAGCTAACACTAGTATTTTGAAGAGTTGTACTAGATTATGAATTTCTTCATAGAATATTTGTTTTCAATTCCAAGTCATAGTATTTGTTAAGATTTTGGATGGTGGTGCTCCCTATGCCTTTCCATGTATATATCTCATTTATATGTTCAACAAAGTTTCGGTCTATGTTTATGATTCCATAACTAATGTATCCCCATTTAGTTGGAGCTTGAACTTGATAGGCACCCTTTGTTACTGTCACCTTCTCAGTTTGTTTTTGTCTTGTCTGACTTCTACTTGAATTTTGTTGCTTCCTATAATAGTGAGTCATATGACGCATCAAAATAAAAAAAGTAAGTCATATGCCGGATGTTGTTAGCTTGTAAAGTTTTGGAAATTTTGAATTATATGTAACCATATATTATTTGAATTTTTGTTTAGTTTTTTGGTCGTTAGAGAGGTAATTGGGTCCCTTAATCTATCTTATCAATGGTTTGGTTCAAACCGGAGTCCTTGCTCCTGTGTAGTCCAGCCTTTACAGGGGTTTAGGCACCAAATTAGTATAAAATTTTTTTTTTGGTCCGAGTATAAGATTAGAAGAAATTGAAAAATAGATGAAAATCAGTAGGGGTGACGATTTTTGATACGACACGTCGAAATCGACACAAAATTAGTAGGTTAGGGTTGATTATTTCTCGACACAAACCAGTAAATGACAGGACCCGTTAACACGAATAATAAATGGGTTGGGTTATTGTCAAATATGAAATTGACACGAACTAGTATTATAGGAATAAAATGTTAATATTTATTATATTTTATTTAATAGTGATTAAATTATTGTATAAAAAAGATATTTTTACTCATTTTTATTATTATATTTATTAAGTTAATGTTTAGTTTATAGAAAAATTATGACTATAGGTTCATTAAGTGATAATTAGATTTTAAACTTAAATTTGAGCGTTAAATTTTTTATTTACGATTTATATGAGTTAACAAGAATATAAATATATCGACTCTACTTGACACGATTAGTTAAACGGCTTAAGTTAGAGATGACTAATGATCAACACGAATCCAAAATGACACAACTCGATTGCCACCTCTAAAAACCACAATCCATTACTTCTGTCAAAAGAATGATGTAGAATGAAAAGGCGATTGGATCTCACACCAATAGTCCTTATCTAGAATAGTTACTCTAAAGTACTCCAAACTTGGCATTCCAAATCTTCTTTGGCTATATTTTTCATTTCCATTTCTGTTGACAATACTTACATTGTCGAAAGTGCATTATGAAAAACGAATTCAAGTGCTTAAGTAAATAGAACTTGCATTAAAATTAAAAAGAAAAATGAACCTAGATGTTGTTACGTGCACACTTTTAGGAATTTAGAAAATAAATGAAAACTAAAATTGGGGAAAGAAAACCCAATAAGAGGAGGGGAGGGGGTGAAAACCTCTAATGGTTCAACTCAAAAAGAACTGAATCTCCAAAATTGCACAAAAAAGTTTATCACAACATTCAATATACCATTTCCATTGATAGAAAAGCATTTAAATCTAAGATGATAGAAATTACCTTAATAACTAACTTAACTCATAACTCTACTATTTTAGTAACTACCAAGAAAATCCACAACATACAGTGTCACTAGCTATTCACTAATAATCTTTCAATAACTAACTCCTAGATTATATAAAAAATATATTAAAATGTGCACATAACAGATGCATACCTTGGCCACTAAATTTCCCCTGAATTGTTGGGACATTATATTGTAATTTATTTCTCCTTATTTTTTTGTGTCACTCATTCTTTTTTTTTTTTTACACACTTAGCATTGCTTTTCAACTCATAAAAACTCTACTTGATTTCCTTGCAAAGTAAGCATGCTTTAGAATGCTTAATTATTTGCAGGCTAAGATTCCACTTATATTAGGTGGCAGGTATTTTTTTATTAAACTGACTGCCAAGATGATTTCTCTTTCCAATTGACAATATGTCAACATTTAACCAACTATGCTATAAATGGTTTTGGTGTTGCTAAGGTGATTTCAATATTCATGAAACTAAGGTTCTTTTTTGATAAAGGAAGTATATTATGTCCAGATAAAGAAAATCCCTAACATACAAAGCTCAAAACCTTCCTCAAATCCCTTTTCTCACATATCTTCTCTCAAATGTCACTTTCCAAGCATAAGAAGAAAAGGAAAAGGGAAAGATTAAGGGAATGAAAACATTTTGATTCAAAATCTCGAGTGCTACTGTAACATTTGCTTGCAATCTCTATTGAGCCATCATTTTCAACATACTCTCTCGCCTCCTAGTGAATTGTATCCTCTGATTCAGGTGCATATGTAAATCATGGCGCACTTTACTCTCGAACTCCAATTTCATTTCACATCACCTAAACAGCAGCTTCAATCCCCAACAACAACTCCTTCATAGTACATAGTCCACTGTGCCTGCAAAAAACTGCAAAGCAGATCATGAAATTCTTGAACAAAAATGTTTTCATTCCCTAACTAAATGGACAACCTTGTTCTTGTCAAGAGGTTGAGAGTCATGAAACAATTCAGATTGGTCGAGGAAGATGGTCTAATGGAACTAATGAACAGGGATTCATGGTCTATACAAATTAGCCGCTTGAAAAACATACCATGGTTCTGAACCCTTTTGTATTATTGATATTATTAGTATTATTAAAAAGTAATATGCATATTTGTTTGGTAAGCAGTGGGCAATATTATTTCCTCTACTCAGTTTTTGTTGGATAGTTATTAATCAATGCGCTTGTATCAAAATTAATTATTTTGTTAAAAGTTAAAACTCAAAGTTGGATTTTGAGGTTGATTTTCTGAGTTAATTTATAGGAAGCATAGGATGAATAAGAGATCATTTGGCTGTGTTAATATTTAAACATAGGAGATCTTAATTTTGTCCATGTGTCTTACTCTAGTTGGACACTCACCACCATGTGATGAACAAACTTAGCTATTAGGTGTCACAATCTCATAGGGCCAAAGAAAAAGATTGACAAATATTAATGAATGAAATCTATCCAATTTAGAAAGAGAAGGGCATTCTTGGTTGTTTGTATAAGTGAACACTGCACCATTTAGAGGTAAAATCCACCAACGAATTAACTAGAGATCCATACAAAAATATTACCCAATTCCTACTTTATTGAGTATAGTTAAGACACAGAAATTTTAATACATCTTTTTGGTGAGAATAATGATGTATGCTTGTTGACTTTTGCCTATAGATAAAGAATAACACATGGAAGAACAATTGTCGTTGTCTGGGTATGTGTCTTACTTTTTACAGGATTGTCGTGTTTGTGCTGTATTAAACTTTTGCCCGAATCCATACATGAGCTTCTCAGGTAGGTATGAATTACCCATTTTAGTAGGTATGTTATTTACTCGTCCTTTGATTGCTAATCCTTGATTCTTAATATAACTATCATGGGTTTTGCCAGTTCTTTGGGTGTTTTTATTAGTGCAATGCTATTAAAAACGTCTTTTTGTGTGTGTAGGGTCAAACTTCATCCAAAAATCCCTCAGATCACTGGTGTTGGTAGATTGTTTGGATTTGTCTGTGACGGTAGATGGTGGTAGATCCTCTGGATTGATCAGTGATGTTAGTTGTTGATATCTGTGGCTTTGAAGAATGGTTCAACTGTACGCTTCTGGTCTGAAAAACAAAATTGATATCTTAATTTTAACCGCTACATGAATCTTTTTATTGCTCTTGCGATATTTAGTGTTGATGGAAGTGTGTTGCCTCAAGATGTTCTTGGTCATGGGATTTTGGACCAAATGCAAATGCTTAATCCTTTAGTCTCCTTTTTTGTTATTGATTATTTCTTCTTGTTGCTTTTTTATTGACGCCAATTTTACCAATGTGATTGACTAGCGCCATGTTTATGGATATTTATTACTATGTAATCCTTGTCCGAAATGAGGGTGACTGGCTGACGGTGCTACTAATAGGATGATATTACAGAAAGCAGTATGCAGACTACCTGAAACATGTTATCATTGTTAGCAGTATGGTGAATAAGGGAGATAGATCAATTGTCATTGCTACTAATCAAGCAATCAGTATGATCTAAAGAGCTGCTTTATGGAGAATGTCAGTTAGCATAGTTGGTATTATGCTATTGTGTCCTCTTTGACTTCTTTAGATGATTAAAGTTACGAATCTATGAATACGGGGAAAGAAGACCATCCATCAGGGTAGTCCAG